AACAGCGTGTAGGAGGTTTGGGTGAAGGTGGGCGCGTTGTCATTGACGTCGGAGACCAGCACCCTGATGGTGTGCTCGGTTTTCAGCCTGGGGGACCCCAAGTCAGTGACGGTGATGGTGACGTTGTACTCGGCTCTGGCCTCTCTGTCCAGTGCCCCATCTGTTATCAGAGTGTAGAAATTCTCTGTAGATGGCTTCAGAAGAAAGGGGAGGTCACTCTGGATGGAGCAAATAATTCTTCCGTTGTCCCCTGAGTCTCGATCTCGAACCCTGAACAGTGCCACTTCTGTGTCGGGGGAGTTTTCGGGAATAGGGCTGGTAAGTGAGGAAATAGTAAGTTCTGGGGCATTATCGTTGACATCCAGCACCTTGATAGAAACAGAGCATTTCCCAGACAGCCCCCCGCCATCGGACGCCTCGATATGCAGGTCATATGAAGATATTGCTTCAAAATCTAATTTTTTAATTAGTCGAATTTCTCCTGAGAGGTGGCTCAGCTCAAAAGTTTTGCTAATCTCTGGAGAATTATAGAAAAGCGAGTATGATATGTCTCCATTAATCCCAGTGTCCAAATCCCTAGCAGAGACCTTGGCAACCAGGAAGCCTATGGGGCTGTTCTCTGGGACTTGCACGTCATAGAGCGTCTTGGAGAACTCCGGGGCGTTGTCGTTGATGTCCATGACCAAGATGCGGATCTGCGCGGTGCCGAACCTCGGTGGAGAGCCGCCATCCTGAGCAGTGATTGTTATTCGGAACTCGGGCTGCTCCTCGTGATCCAGCTCTTTGTCCAACACCAGCTGAGGGTATTTCCTGCCATCCCCCAACTTGAGGGTGGAAACGTGGAAATGAGAGTTGGGACTGATAGTGTACTTTTGAACGTCATTGTTGCCCACGTCCAAGTCCTGGGCTTTTTTCAGAGGAAATACAGTCCCATTCGGGCTACTCTCTGGGATTCGCAGGGTCATTTCTCTTTCAGGAAACTCTGGAGAATGATCATTTATGTCTCTCACGAGGAGCTCAGCTCGAAATACTTCTAATGGTTTCTTCAGGACCACTTGGAAGGGCATTACACAGGGCTCAGCAGAGCCGCACAGCTCCTCTCGGTCCAATTTCTTATTTAATATCAACTCCCCTGTCTGCGTATTGAGCTGTAAGCCTGGCTCGCTATCCTCTGAGACCACCCGGGCTCCGCGCCTCTCCAGCTCCCCCACTCCCAGCCCCAGGTCATTGGCCAAGTTGGCTACAAAGGAGCCGCTTCCTGTTTCCTCCAGCACAGAATAACGCCGGGGTTCGCAGCCGGCCAGAGTCACTCCCAGAAAGAGAAACAGAAGCAGGACTTGCCTTTGCTGAGGAGAGCGCTTCCCTTGGTCCTCCATCTTCTGCAAACGCCTTCGATGAATAGGGCGCGGCTCTATGTTGGAGATTGAGGGGTCTGAGGCAATGAAAGATCAGTCCATTGATAACCTGTCCGGAAATGATGACGAGTAGCTTTCTGTTGAGACTCACAGGTCCTCAGCTCTGCTTGCGGGCTCTGTCTCCACCGGAAATCTGAAGTGGAGCTTTTTCTTTTTGAAAGCCTTATCCTGCAGCGCCACCAAGTGTTTCAGCATTCAAAAGAATTGCTAGACGGTTCAATTCTCTATGTGAGCTGAAATTTAAGGATGCTGTTGTGCACATATGCGATACCCATACATATATTCTGCTATTGAGAGTCTGGAAATCATTTGGGGGAGTAATATAATCATAAAATCACACAATTATAGAGGTTCGTTTCTCCATTCAAAGAACTATTGTTGATTTCTATGTACCAGGTATTGAAATACATTAGTAAATAACCCAGAAATGGCCCCTGCCTTCTAGAATGGTTGGGTGCTCAGAGGGAAACGAAATAAAAGAAGTCATACTAGTTAACAGTCCTCTTGTAAAACAATGACAGCATATTACCCAATGCATTCAGCAAAACGAATAAATTCTTCCATATTCACATGTGTGGCATTACACTCAGGATTCTCACTAAAAGTCTAAGCAGCCCATGTGCTTCTGTTTGTGGTTCTGTTTGTTGAATTGTATCAAGGAAAGCTACAAGGTACCTGTCAGTTTGTGGTAACCTTTCTTTTTTTTTTTTAATATTTTATTAGGGGCTCATACAACTGTTATCCCAATCCATACATACATCAATTGTGTAAAGCGCATTTGTACATTCATTGCCCTCATCATTCTCAAAACATTTCCTCTCCACTTAAGCCCCCGACATTAAGTCCTCATTTTTCCCCTCCCTCATAACCTTTCTACAGAAGTCAAGATTTTATGAAAATTTTGAACTATGGGAAAATGTGTATAAAGGCATTTCCTACCTACTTATTCTGACTACCCCCCCCCTAGTATTTATCATATATTTAAATGTTTCTTTTTGAGTTCCTCCTGAGTTTGAGGGCTTTGTTTTTTTCACTGATGCATCACTAGTACTTAGAATAATGTCTGACAATAGGTGCTTAACAAATAGTTGTTGAATGGATCAATGAATAAATAACCATTTTAAAAGTTTGACAGATAGAGTTATATTGTAGAAGCCTCACCTTTTTTGGGGTGCTCCAGTTCATTACTGGATAAACAAGACAGCATATTCCTAAGTAGTTATTTTCTGTTGAATAGTAGTTTGAAATAACTCAGAATGGTCTAAAATATTTTTTCATTAAACAGCAAGTATATTAGCTCTCAGTAATCAAAAGGATACACTGTAGAAAGAAAGAATGTAACAGAGCTATAATCCTACAAATAAGGTGTACATCTCTTTTAGATACACATTTTACACTATCATTGTCATCCTACTGTACACTAAAGATACTCAAAAGAATATTTTACCTTGTGTCATTTTCTGAAATTTTCTATTAAACTATAGTAAAGAACTATTGGAAAGATTCATCAGTTCTCAAAATTATGTGTTCTTTAAGAGCTTGTTCTTGTCATATATAGATTATATTAATAGTCTAGAACCTTTTAAACCCAAAATATTAATTACTTACCTTACAAAAAGTCATAGTAAAAATCTTAAAATAATAATATGGTTTAGTCTACCAATCCACAAAAAATTTTTTATCATAGCCTGCTCCTGAAAAAAAAAATCCACTTAGCTCTCTTAATTAAAGGGAAAATAACTTAAATATATTCATTTCTAAAGACCTTCGAGAGACAGTAAATTCGGAAGGTACTGATAAACCCATAGCAGGAATATCTACAACAAGGTTGCTCTCTTGAGTTCCTGTTTTTGTTTAGATATCTCCTTCATTCTTATCTCTCAAGGGTTGACTTTTTGCACATATTCTAAACTATAATTTTTC